TTTCTCTATCATATGGTATTTTCATTCTTTTGATTAAATTGTTACATTAATTCCTGTATCGTCTGTATGTAAGGCGAAGAATGTCATTATGTGGGTATTTTCGTAAGTTTTTCTGAAGGTTATTACTGTTTCTTAAACAGCGTAAGATTCCTGTTGATATCCACGGTTGTATTAATAGTCGGAGAGCTGGCTACGAAAACGTGAACTGATAAGGTGTAGTAACGAATTATATATATATATAACCTCTCCTTGGTAGCTTATAAGTACAGAGCGAGACCCGTCAGAACTCTCTCCCGGGGCGGAAGGCGTGGGTGGGCGGTCAAAGTCGTAAATTTTCAATAAGAAAAAAATGATTAGGTGCAGTTCTGAAATTTGGTAGAGTTATAGTTTTTAACTGTAGGAATCTAGGAAAATTATTGTCAGAAGTCTAGGTCGGGGCTTAAAGACTGTCAGAAGTCGACATAGTTGTAAAGAAATTGTTTAAATTTAAACCACAAGGTGCAGTTCTGACAAATGCATTTTTATATTATTTGTTGCTATCGAACCTGTATATAAATTGTCAGAAGTCTTAATAATGGCTAAGTACATTTAAAATTGATGATATAGTCAGAAGTTGCTGAAGCGGCTATCGCGACGGAAAGCAACGTTTCGAATCTAGTTTTGAGTTAAAATAACAAGGTGCAGTCTGACAATTGCATTTTTATATTATTTATAGCTTACCGATCCTGTACATATATTGTCAGAAGGCTAAATAATGGCTAAGTACAGAAAAATTGATGATACGGCCAGAAGTTGCTGAAGCGGCTAAAATAATTGTTCGATGACACTATGACAATGTTAAATAATCATTATTTAACATTGTCATAGTGTCATCGAACAATTATTTTAGGTTTAATCTGGCTTCATTTAACAAATTATATAAAATACATTATTTGACACTTTGTTTCGCTATTTACTATGATGATAGGTCGATTGAGCTCTCGGTCGATGTTTAACTTACCTAGTCGAACAAATTGTCCTATGTCATCACACTCGTCGACAACTTTGAGTGTAGTGCTTGCTCGCAACAACAACTGGCATTGGTATTACATGGACATTACACATGATCTTTGTTTCGTCCATGTTCATCTCAATATCTATCCATTAGGAGACACTGAAGTCATTCAGCACACTGCTGAGGTCTTCCAGTGATGTTGCCATAAGGACCACGTCGATAAATCGAAGGTAAGTATTGTTTACGCCATTGAAAATCTGCGTGTACATAAAACAGGTATTCATAAGTTTGCACTCTTGTTTACATATTTACTACATATAGCATATACTCATATATCACCGACCGTATTTCTTTGTTATTGTAGTCATTGATACTGTTACGCCAACGATGAAAATCTGTGCATTATGTTCAAATGAGTTCAATGATGGAGCGTAAAAAAATCACTATGACTTTGGGTGTGCTGGTATAATGGAACGACGTTTTTGTAACTTAAGTGCAGATCGAAGAGCTCAATGGAAATGCCCTCCCATCCAAGTTCCGATGTCACCCTTGGTGGCGATTCTTGTGGCAAGTTGACGACTTTAAATATTATTTTCAAGAAGATCCATGAGATGAAGAAGCTTATTACTGCAGTTTAAGTCTTATCCAGAACGTCAATATATTTAAGTTGAGTTAAATCATCTGAAATAGTCATGTGAGTACAGCAGTAGTTCACTAAAAACTTTTAAAAAAACAAGGCTTCGATTTGTGATCGTAGCTTATCTCAGGTAGAAAAGGTTCTAAGCCTGTAAAAAAAAAAATAAGTCTGTAAGCTTTCTTAAAATAAGTAGATCCTAATGACTTCAGAACCCACTGGTTCTCATCCAAACCTGAAAATACAAATGCTACAAATGACCCTATCAACATCTTAGATCATTTTACGTGGTAGAGCCAAGCTGCAGCTATATTTATAGTATAGTTGTGGCAGGAATGGGTCGACTCGACCGGGGAAGGACCACACTGTCACATAATACTAGCGTAAAATAGCAGCTTAATGCTGCTGTGTTTCGTATGGTGAGTGTAGAGAACCGGAGATCCTTTTTACTGCAAAAAAGGCATTCAATTTTAGTCCTCGCGGCTGACAACACATCTGCATTTTGATTCGTAAACGAGGATAGATATAGATGTATATGGGCCTCAGCAACCACATACCTATTTCTATAAAAAAAAATCTTAGATAACGAAAATACCTACGACAAATCCCTAAATCCTGTAAACCAAATAGTTATTTTAATATCGTTATAGATAAACACAAGTTAGACCTAGAAGAATCCATTCCTTTTGTTCACGATATACTTGATAATATCCCTAACTCTCAAAATGTAATGCAAGCTGAAATAACTTGACATTATTTTCAGTTAATGTCTCATAATGATAAAATTTACTATATTTTAGCACTGGGGTCCTTCATTTTGACGATTTTTCATATCAGAAATTAGTTAATAGAACGAAGGCTACCTTTAACTTTTAAATATTATTTTTTTCCGATCTACGCACAACAAGCTTATAGTATTTTGCAGTAATACATTTGGGCTTAGATTTAATTTTGGTAATAATAAAATATAATATAACCTAAAAGTGATAGCAAGCATACCTAGATTCTATAATTCTAGCCATTTTCTATATTAAAATTAGGATTTTTTTTTTAATTTCAGCCAGTCTGTGAATCCTCTGACAAAATATGGTAGTACAGCAGGCACACGGTCGACTTTGGCCGGTTTCACTTACTCACTGTGATATAGGCGCGGGAACCGATTATCGCATGCCGTAAGCGCCTAAGCGCGTCGGTATGTTCTACCGACTATGGCCTAAAAATTAAGATTCCAACGATTTGTCGCATTAAATCTTATCTAGCAATCATATTGTACATATAAGTGATATAAAAACCACATTGTCAGAAAGATAAATGATTGTTTAATGGATTAATTGCAATTTTTAAATAAAAAATGGGTTTTAATGGCTTATGATGTGGATTTATCAAGTGCGCAAGGCTTGTAAACACGATAACTTTTGAAAATATCAATTATTCAAGTCAATATATTTTTAAAACTCTTCATCTATCATGTGGTAAGCCATTGAATGTAAATGGCAGTTTAATTTTGTTTAGTTTAGTTATATTAAAATTTTTCGGCTGGGAAATGACGAAATTTTCGCTGTATTCCGCAGCCTTGTATGAATAAATTATTACTAAATAGTGACTGCGTCACTCAGTTCGGCGTCAGTCACCATCGTGAGTGCACATTGTTACGGTTGTTTGCAGCGGCTCAAAAAGATCGCTGTACAAATACACAATATTGGAATAACCAAATTTCTTAAATACTTGATTATAATAATAATGAGAGATTTTTTTATTACAATATTTTAAAAGCACAGAATAAGTAATAGTAGTACGTACTAAAAGTAAGTAGTATCAATTTTTTCGTCATGGGTGTCATTTTCAGGGTTTTCGAGGGTGTAGAAGCCGATAGTGCTGTCGAAATGTAAATCCAAGACGGCGGCTGCAATAGGTATCAATTTTTTCATCAAGGGTGTAATTTTCATGCTTTTCGAGGGTGCTGAAGCCGATATTGCTGTCGAAATGTAAATCCAAGGTGGCGGCTGCAATATGTATAATTTTTTTGATCTTGGGTGTCATTTTCATGGTTTTCGAGGGTGTAGAAGCCGATAGTGCTGTCGAAATGTAAATCCAAGATGGCGGCTGCAATAGATATCATTTTTTCATCTTGGGCGTCATTTTAATGGTTTTTGAGGGTGCTGAAGCCGATAGTGCTGTCGAAATGTAAATCCAAGGTGGCGGCTGAATTATGTATCAATGTTTTCATCATGGGCGTCATTTTCATTGTTTTCGAGGGTGTTGAAGCCGATAGTGCTGTCAAAATGATATTAAACTACTTTAAAAAATTCCGTATAATCATGTTATACGTAATTTTTTTTAATGCGCTTAGGGCATGCCCATTTGGATTTACCAATGTTTTTGTTTTATATTACTGAAATATGAAAATGATTTCAGTAATATAAAATAGGCTTTTAATTAAACGTGGGTGGAGCCACGTGTAATACTAGCTGTATTATATAAATTCACAACTTCAATGGGTCATGTGTGGTTGAATGCGGAATCGAACTGTTGTGTTTTTGACAAGCGTTCTTTAAATTAAACCAATTGTACGGACTTTACCCCTTTAATTTCAAACTTTTTGATTCCTGATGTTTCGAAGAAATACAGATGATGTAAGCTTGTTTTGCGTAGATCGGACCAAAGAATAATATTTAGAAGTCGAAGTTAGTTTTCATTAACTATGACATCAGGACATTAAACAATTCAGTTCCTTGCATGATTAATTTAATAAGGGCATTACCACGCCAATCAATCGATCGTCGATCAACGCCATCGATCGACGTCGATCAATGTCGATCGGTTAGTCGATAAAACTTTGTTCAATCATCGATCGACATCGACATCGACAATTAATCGATGTGGTTGTGGGCTCATCATCAGTATCTTTCAAAATGCTGTCGGTGGAGTGGGGCGGGTACTCGAATAATCAAGCAGCTCGATCGACGTCGACCAATCCATTTTACCATCGATCGATGTTCGATAAATTACGAAAATAGTTTTATTTATAATTGAAACATAAAAATGACATTTCTAACGTCAAATATAAAATGAGTCAAATTTCATTTCTACGTTTTACTGCTTAGTTCAAAGACAAAACTTTAAAGGAGACGGTCCAAAATTGTATGGAGCGTAGGCCTAGTTTAATAGTATGGAAATAAATTAAAATAAAATATTAAACCACTTTTTATCATTAAAATCCACGAATTTGCCTTAATTTCAGTGGTATTAATATTTGATTCTCACCAAAAACTGCAACACTAATGGCGGATTGATGTCCCCCCGTGACCATGAGTGCTGCAAAGCAAGCGAAACGTCGGGTTTTAAAAAGTTAAATTAAACGCGATAAAATCCGTAAAAATTAGTTCCATTTAATTCTGCTTTAGTTTTCGATTCGAATGCTTGAACTTCGAGCTTCGGAAAGCTCAACATCAACCTTATGAAGAAACTTTTCTGTCATCGTATTTCAGATCCCTTGAAAAAAATATTTCTTCTGTCCACAACGTAAAAATTTACATATTGTTTAATAAAAAGCATCACATCTGATCTGTTGGTTACCTTTAAATCGGAGCATGACTTTTATTTTCATGTAAACATTTTAACATTTTCAAATTGTGTTCTATTTATTATAGTTAACGTAGTACACGTCAAGATTAAATCTTTAATTTGGAAATTTTATTTTTTGAAGAATTTTATCTAAACTTTTAACAATTTATTAATAAAATAATAATAACCATTCACATTAATAAACTGTTATTCACGATTTAAAATGTACACAATGCCATCTATGTACTATTTGTGTAAACACGAATTGCCATGAAATTCTTGCACAGCTTTACCTATAACGTTTCTGAAACGAAAAATTCAATTTAAATGATACAGATACATTTAATGAGAAGTTACATCATAGAATCATAAAGTGCGTTCAAATTACTCGCAAGATTTTTATTGTGTTTTTAAACAAAGTAATTTTTGTGACTAATATATTATTATAGATAATACACATATAAGTAGTGTACCACGGACTTTTTTTTAAATATTGCTAAGATGTCAAATCCGTTAGTACAGTTTTTATAGTTCTACCTACTTCTATCTATTTAAGATTAATTAGCGCACGCCTAGAAATGAAAGTTTATTAGTATGGATAAAAAACATGCTAAGTTGTAAGAATTAAAATACAGATGCTTCGTAACTTATGAGAAAACATAGCATCTTTATTCTGCTATTTTGCACTGGAATCTTTTGTGACCGTGTAGGAGTGGTGTAAGAAGATGCATTACTACATATTATCCCGTGGGATAGTAGGTGAAGTAGTATAATATAGTAGGACGATGAATTAATTTTTTTCACAATAAAAAGACATTCTAGTTTACAGTCAAGTATAATGCCCGTAGTCGAATTCAGAGTTTTTACTATACCTAATTGTTTTATTAAGAATGTTATCAAATATGTATTTTGTGGGTAAATTTAGTATGTTTGTTAAAATTATTTTTATTTTGTAATGCTCCAGCAAAATAATTGTTTTTTCTGTTAAATATATCTAAAAACATGCCATAAAATATGTCATGAGAAATAAAAAAAAAACACAAAAATGCTCTAGATCATTAAATTTAAATTAAAAGAATAAAGATATTTTTTTTTTGTAAATCCACACGCTATGCAGACAGATTTAAGATTTACATAGAAATTGTAAAATGTTAAATTACTTATTTATGACTTTTAAATATAGAGAGTCTGCTGCAGTCCTATTTCATAAAATATGACAAAAAATTATTTTAGGGACAATTTTTTTTCAGCATCATATGAAAATGACTAATATTTTCTTTGCTAAGAGATTTTATCCTACCCAGAAATGTTTGGGGATAAATGGATTAAATGTACGTCTAACACAAATTCTCCATAATCATCACTGTTTTAAACCGGTAATGCCTATAATACAGTTAAAAAATATGACATTCAATAAAATTGGCATACAATAAAAAATACATTTTAAAATTCATATTTCTTCATGTACATATAAATTTAAGTTTAGGGCCTGGTTTTTGTGTCGGTGACAACTTCATTGCCACTGGCGATCGCCCGGACATTAAGAGATGCCGTGGCAGAAGTGGTTGCTGTAGCGGTGGCAACTCCTGAGTCTTGTGCACGTGCTAAGGCGCCGGCATTTGATGATCCAGTACAGGTTAATGTGGCAGTGGCGCCTCCTGTGTTGTATGCGTCTGCTGTGGCATCACCAACTGATGAGTCAGAAGTGGTTACTGTGGCGGTAGCGACTCCTGCGTCGTATGAGTGTGCTGTGGCGGTGGCTCTCGATGAGCCCGAAGCAGTAGCCGTAGCTGTCGAGCTTCCCCTACCATAAGTTATTGCTGTTGCCGTGGCGACTGCTGTACCTGAAGCCACAGCTGTAGCAGTATGTGGACCCGTGCCTTGGCTACCCATCACTACAGTGGTGACCTTTGGGCTAGAACCAACTGCTTTGACGGTGACACCTATTTCACCATTTCTTGATGCTGTAATATAAGTCTTTATAAAGGCAATATATTTGAGTCAATCACAATAAGATTACAATTAGTCTAATATCTTTAAGATACAGTGGATAGAATAAAAGATAATAACTGGTTTGTTTATAGTGATCAACACGGGCATCTACTTTAACAATGTCTACTTTAATTTATTTTAAATTAAATAACTGAATGTTTAAATAATTAATTTAAGAATATTGGAACTAAATTGAGCACTTGAGATACGTTAGAAAATTAAAAATGTATTAAAATTACAAATTAGTAACTGTACTTGTAGTCGTACTAAGTAACTTCTAGAAGCTTCAAAATCACACAACATACATACAAGCAACAAATCGGCGGCGCCGTAAACGATTTTTTGGCGTGGGCAGTGCACTGCCACGGTGCACATCTCTTCCTTGGACATCTGCCATAATACAAACATCGATTAAAATTAATAATTTTGTAGTGTTATGCTACTTACATATCATTTTACATTATTTTAAATTCATTTTTCCATTCTGTTTCGATTTTCTGCATTCACCTCAAAACTGGTTATTTTTACATCACCTTTATTTCCATAGGATCCTGTAACGATTTTAAACCATAAGAACACAATAACAAATCATTTTCACTTCGTATTTTCACACTATCAGCACTTTTAAATTGGTGTCAATGGAGTCTACCTTTTTCGATCTTTTATTTAGTTTTCCGTAACACTGCAATTTCGGGCTTTGTGCGCGCTGGTGCGCTACCTTTTTTCCTATATCAATAATATCTCATTTTTCATTTAAATCTTGCCGTTTTTCTATTACGAGCCTAAAACCAAAATTTGACATGTTTTGACATCGTTGTTGATCTGGTTGTCATGACAATTATATTCAAATTCGCTACCGGTCTGTTGTTTCTACTTCGATAATTCCACATAAATACTCTTTCCTCTTGGCCATTTACAAAAAATTTGCGTTTAATTTAAATAATTTTTCCGTTCTCTCTGAAAAGGTATAAAAGCCGAACAATCGGTCAAGAAAGTCAGTCTCGCTTCATTTCTCAAATTCGAAGCATCTCCTAAAGGCCTTATCCCGGGGCCGCACTGCCCCGGGATCGTGCAAGCCTCTGTCCCGCCTGAAGCCGCTGGATCCTACAAGCCTCTGCTCTGCCTGAAGTCGCCGAACCCTGCATGCCTCTGCTCTGCCTGAAGTCGCCGGATCCTGCAAGCCTCCATCCTGCCTGATGTCGCCGGATCCTGCAAGCCTCTGTCCCGCCTGAAGTCGCCGGATCCTGCAGGCCTCTGTCCTGCCTGAAGTCGCTGAAGATCCTGCAAGCCCCTGTCTTGCCTGATGTTCGGCTTTTATACCTTTTCAGAGAGAACGGAAAAATTATTTAAATTAAACGCAAATCTTTTGTAAATGGCCAAGAGGAAAGAGTATTTATGTGGAATTATCGAAGTAGAAACAACAGACCGGTAGCGAATTTGAATATAATTGTCATGACAACCAGATCAACAACGATGTCAAAATATGTCAAATTTTGGTTTTAGGCTCGTAATAGAAAAACGGCAAGATTTAAGTGAAAAATAAGATATTATTGATATAGGAAAAAAGGTAGCGCACCTGCGCGCACAAAGCCCGAAATTGCAGAGTTACGGAAAACTAAATAAAAGATCGAAAAAGGTAGACTCCATTGACACCAATTTAAAAGTGCTGATAGTGTGAAAATACGAAGTGAAAATGATTTGTTATTGTGTTCTTATGGTTTAAAATCGTTACAGGATCCTATGGAAATAAAGGTGACGTAAAAATATCCAGTTTTGAGGTGAATGCAGAAAATCGAACAGAATGGAAAAATGAATTTAAAATAATGTAAAATGATATGTAAGTAGCAGAACACTACAATTTCTTATTTATACCCCAGTATTCACAAGGGAGATTTCTCAACTATAACCCATGAATTATATATTTACAAGTAAAATCTGTAGCCCATAGACACCTGCATCTATTTTAATTATGAATCAAAATACAGATGCATTGTATCCTTTGAGAATTAAGGTTAAATGCCTTGTGACCAATTCTCGTCACTGTTCATAAAAAATACAGTAACACTATTCTGCTATTTCTACGTGGTAGAGCCATGCTGCAGCTATATTATGGTTGTAGCACGAATGGGTCGGCTCGAACGGGGAAGGACCACGCTCTCACAGAAAACCAGCGTAAAATAGCAGCTTAACGCTGCTGTGTTTCGTATAGTGAGTGTGGAGAACCGGAGACCCTTTTTACTGGCAAAGAGGCATTCCATCTTAGTCTTCACGGGTTACAACGCATCTGCATCTTGAGTCTTTATTGAGGATAGATGTAGATGTCTATGGGTCACAGTAACCGCTTAACATCAGGTGGACTGTGTGCTCGTTTGTCACCCGATCCTATAAAAAAAATATTCTCCAGGAGCTTGGTCCTATCTGGTGTGAGCCCTGTCATTTGTGCTACAGCGATAATTTATTGTGGCACTGCCACGAGTAGCAGAATCAATAATTATCATGTCACATATCGTACATATTGCTAAGAATAAGCTCCCGTCTTTACGTGGCTTCGGGCAGATTCTAGAGTAGTATATTGAAACCTGCAGAACCGGTATCAGTAAGCAAAAATAAATCTAAAAATGGATTTTTGGATGATTACAACGTTAAAATTACCTAAAAGTGTAGAGTCTTTCTCCAAGAACGGAAATCCGGTTTGACCAGCCATAACTATCATTCTAAAATCTTCGTGCACGGGAATAAACCCAGCTGATTCGCCTTCAGAACTGCTTAAAATATCCTTGGGAATCATCCTTCTACCATCATTGAGAATCATCTTTCCATTTTCCATTAAAATATTTAAGCTGCTAGTCACTGTTGTAGGCGCTTTGTCCACTTCATTTACAACTAACACATAACCGTACTTTACTGCTTTGAGTAGTGGCAAATCTTCGTTAATGACAGTTCCATTTTTGTCAGTTGGCTGTTCTGTCAAAGACTGTATCGTTGTGTCACGGTCCAGTTGTATATATTCCGTAGGGCGATTCAAATGTTGTAACAGTCTGTCTGCGATTATTTTATTTTCAATGCCACGGTTCGCGACTAGCAATAAATGATTACCTCTTTGAATATCTTGTAGCAACAACTCCAATACTTTTTTATATTGTGGTAAATCACTGAAAATTATTTCAGGGACTTCAATTCCAGATATGTTTGTTTTGTCATTTGTTGAGCTTGCATTGCTTACATTATTGTTGGCTTTGAAATTGTTTAACGAGCTTTCCTGTGACTTATGTTCCGATAAATTAATCACTACGGGTACTTCGCCGCACTGAAAATTTTAATATAATTTTCTTAAGTCAAGTTTAATAATATGAAAAAATCTACTAACACCGTAAAATACTCAGCACACCCTGAATAGTTTCTAATGTCAATCAAGGTTTTAAACTTTCGTGTCTTTTACTAAAAAAGATCCGCGGAAAGTATGCAAACTTAAATGTAAAGTATGTAATTCGCCAGCAACAGTCAATTTCGCGAAGACTGTCATGCCGCAGCTAAGAGACTTTCTCAGAGTAACTACATATATACGAGTATGTATACATAGAGTGAACCTACATTTCTACATAAATTGAGTTAATATACCTGTCTCGCTTTTTTCAATTTAATTTTCAAATAAGGCAAAAAGAGAAACATTATTGAAAGATGTTGCATGTAATTTATGCGTAGAGTTTTAATGACAAGTAGTCATTTTAGGTCTCTATACTAAGTCAAATATGTAACTCATATCTTTATACGTAGTAGAGCCATGCTGCAGCTATATTAATAGTATAGTTGTAGCGAATGGGTCGGCTCGACCAGGGGAGGACCACGCTCTCACAGAATACCAGCGTAAAATAGCAGCTTAATGCTGCTGTATTTCGTGTGGTGAGTGTAAAGAACCGGAGAACCTTTTTACTGGAAAAGAGGCACTCTGTCTTAGTCCTCACGGCTGACAATGCATCTGCATTTTAATTCGCAAACGAAGATAGATGTAGATGTCTATGAGCCACAGCAACCACTTACGATCAGGTGGACTGTGTGCTCGTTTGTCACCCCTATTCTATAAAAAAAAATCTTCTCATTTACTAGAAAAACGGCATCCCTACTGTAGTAGTATTATTATAGGTGACGTTATTTTACGAGACATGACTTCTTTAATTTATAGTGACTTTGTCCTCAACGTTAGCATCTAACAATCGACATCGATATACTCGTTTTTGTATGATTATTTATTTATGTTTTTATCACTTTTTTATGTCTATTAATATAAAGAAAATGGGACTAGACTTATTATAATTCGAGTGATCAAGTGAATTTTTTCCAAAATTAAGTGATGATTATTTATTACATTGCAAATATTCGTGTTGCAGACTTTAAAAACGAATATTTAGTGAGATCATCATCATCATTACAGCCCTTCACAAGTCCACTGCTAAACATAGGCCTCCCCCAAAGAATGCCACAAAGCACGGTCCTGAGCCACCTGCATCCATCGACTTCCTGCATGTCTTACCAGGTCGTCACTCCATCTCGTGGGGGGACGCCCTACACTTCGCCTACCGGTACGAGGCTGCCACTCGAGAACCTTTCTTCCCCATCGGTTGTCGGTTCTTCGAGCTATATGGCCGGCCCACTGCCACTTCAGCTTACTAATCCGTTGGGCTATGTCGGTTACTCTGGTTCTACTGCGGATATCCTCATTCCTAAGTTTATCACGCAGAGAAACTCCGAGCATAGCCCTCTCCATAGCTCGCTGAGCGACCTTGAGCTACCTTATACGGCCAGTAGTGAAGGTTCACGTCTCAGTTCCATAAGTCATCACTGGCAACACGCACTGGTTGTATAATTTCGTTTTCAGGTTTTGAGGTATGTCTGACGAGAAAATGTGTCGTAGCTTCCCGAACGCTGCCCAGCCGAGTTGAATCCGTCGATTGACCTCTCGGTCGAAGTTGGACTTACCTAGTCGGACTATTTGTCCCAGGTAAACATAATCGTCAACAACTTCGAGCTTAGTGCTCCCAACAACTACCGGCATAGGTGTGACATGGACATTGAACATGATCTTTGTTTTGTCCATGTTCATCTTAAGACCTATCCGTTGGGAAACACTATCGAGGTCATTGAGCATAGTGCTTAGGTCCTCCAGCGATTCTGCCATAAGGACTATATCGTCGGCAAATCGAAGGTGAGTGATGTACTCGCCATTGATGTTGATACCGTATCCTTTCCAGTCCAGAAGCTTGAAAACGTCTTCCAATGCAGCGGTGAAGAGTTTCGGGGATATGACGTCACCCTGTCTTACACCTCTCTGCAATTGGATAGGTTTCGTACTCTGGTTCTGTACTCGGATAGCCATCGTAGCCCTACTGTACAAGCACTTCAACACTTCGATATACCGACAGTCAACTTGGCACCGCTGAAGGGACTGCAGCACCGCCCAAATTTCGACGGAATCAAAGGCTTTCTCATAGTCCACATACGCCAGACATAGTGGCAAATTGTACTCTTCGGACTTCTGTACAATTTGCCGAAGGGTATGTATGTGGTCTATGGTGCTAAAGCCCTTTCGGAAACTGGCTTGTTCGGGAGGCTGGAAGTCGTCAAGTCTGCGCGCGAGACGATTCGTAATGACTCTCGAAAACAGCACGTAGACGCGGCTCAGAAGGGAAATCGGTCTGTAGTTCTTCAAGAGAGCGTTGTCACCTTTCTTGAAGAACAAGACCACCGCACTTCTGCTCCACGCCTCCGGTGTAATGCCACCATGGAGGACGGAATTAAAGAGCTTCTGAAGGACTTCAAGTACCGGTCTTCCACCCGCTTTCAGAAGCTCCGCTGTAATTCCATCCTCGCCTGGGGCCTTACCGTTTTTAAGGTGCTGGAAAGCCATTCTAATCTCGCTCAGACTGACGTCCGGGATATCTTCGGAATAGTGTCGGATGAGACTCGCTCTTGGATCGTTACTCACACTTGCGTGTGGCTCCAACGATGACGTGTACAGCTGCCCATAGAACCTCTCAATCTCACTCAAAATCTCAGGTGTCCCGGAAACGATGCTGCCACATTCTGTCTTCAGCTTTGACAGGTGGCTCTTTCTGGCAGACAGATCTCTGGCAAAGACTTTGGAGCCTTGGTTCCGCTCGATCGCTTCTTCAATACGAGCTGTATTGAAGTTGCGTAAGTCCCGCCGCATGCATTTGGAGATCTGTCTGTTCAGATGCCTGTATGCTGTCAAGTCTGTTGAAGAATGTAGCTTCATCTCCCGTCTAACAGCCATGAGATTAAGAGTGTGATCGGAGAGTTTTTGTGTTCTTCTGCGGCGGGTCTTGCAGAACTTAGCTCCGACCGCATGGACAGTTTCCACGAGCTTGTCATTCATATCGTCCACTTCATTGCAGTCTTCTAGGCACTGAAAACGGTTTTGTAACTCGAGCTGAAAGGTTTCGGGACTTTGGAACAGAGCACGAGGGGGACGGAGCGTTGACTTCATTAGACGAGACCTCTCCAACTTAACGTTTAGGTTCAGTGTGCCTCTAACCATTCGGTGATCGCTACCAGTTTTCACCCTCGCGATCACGGAGACATCACTGAACAGTTGTCGTCTGGTCGTCATAATGAAGTCAATCTCATTTTTTGTCGAACCGTCGGGGCTCGACCAGGTCCACTTCCTGTGGGGCCGCTTCTGGAAGAAAGAGTTCATCATAAAGAGTCCCTCTTTCTCCATGAAGTCGGCCAGCTGCTGGCCCCTTGGGTTCCATTGCCCTATTCCAAATTTCCCTACTTTCAGCTCACCGTTCTCTCTTGTGCCTAGTTTTGCATTGAAGTCTCCCATTAACACCGTATATTGGGTTTTGGAGGAATGCATGGCTCTAGAGATATCCTCATACATTTCCTCCACCTCCCCATCGGGGTGTGCCGAGGTTGGTGCGTAAACCTGTATGACCTTCAGCGAATACCGTTTGGTGATTCTGAGTATAAGGTACGCAACCCTCGTCGACACACTCCCGATCTTTACAACGTTGTTAACGAGAGACTTGTGGACGATAAATCCGACACCTCCTTGGGACAGATGGTCGCCCTCCCGGTGATAGAGAAAGTTGCCGGATTCGAGGATTACCGTGTCCTCCCCCTCTCTTCGGACTTCGGATAATCCTATAATATGCCAGCGCAACTTGTCTATCTCTTCTTCCAGCTCCACGATCTTCTCGTCAGTCCTCAGGGTGCGTGCGTTGTACGTTGCCAGGTCGAGTCGTCTAAGGTGGCAACCGAACCTCCACCGGAGATTCTTAGCACCCCCTGCCCCGCCGTTACCATGGTCGCCACCGTAGCCAGGAATAGCGGGGCCGCCGGGGACTGGGGGCCGTCTCTTTGTTACATTCATAGGGGGGTATTTGCCATAGTTGCCACGCTTGGCGAGCGGGTTGGCAACCGCAGTTTTTTTTATTATAATTTTGACTATTATCAGGAAGATGCTGCTGCCCATCTCCTGCCTGTTTCCCTTTGTCGCCTTTTACGACACCCACGGGAGGATATGGGGTAGTGGTATTCTTGACCGCCACTACAGTATTACACTATTTAGTGAGATATGAATACTAAATTAACAAAAGCGAGTTGGACCTCATTTGTAATTCCAATTTTATATGCTGATTAGCGCAAAATAAAACTATGGAAAAAACTATATCTGCTTGGATGAAAATATTTCGAAATCTTGAAGTGAAGGCAAGATTTTGATAAACGATGATAAGAGACACCATGTAGTGACGGCGTAAAAGAATTCGCTACCTCATACTTAGAAGCTCTAAGACCCCATATCATGACTTGAGTATCGTAAAAGGCGATAGAGGAAAATGAAACATAAAACAGACAGCAGTATTTTCCTGATAAAACCTCAAAATAAAAAATAGCGGTTGCCAATCCACTTGCTAAGAAAGGGTAATTCCCCTCAGAAGAATTACTAATGTAGAAGGGATCCTAAAATAAGAACAAAATTCTTGTACTTATACTTTATAGGCCTATGACGTTTTATGTGGTACAAAATAAGATCGTTCCATAAACACCTCGACTGATGTGCCATTAGGGTATTTCGCTATTGGCAAGTTGAAAAATGTCATTGAAAAAGTCACTATGAGATCTACTTAAATTTAGCTGGTATGTTTCTGCCAAATTACTCCTAGCCATATTAATAATAATAACTGTATACGTGTAACCAAACACCCCTTCCAAATATTTTATTTATTTATTTGTCCAATCAACGTAAAGTAAACAGAGGGCACTTCTACGATAGTATAAATACCGCGACTAGACCGCGGTCTGCCTCAACTTCTAATAAATCGATTATGAACATATTACACGTGTTCCTCTCCGCTTACTTAAAATATTATACATTATTCATTCATTGATTACAGCCTATTAAAGTCCACAGCTGAACATATGCCTCCTCCATCGATTGCTTCATATGGATATTTGCCATAGTTACCACGCTTGCCAAGCAGGTTGGCAATCGCAGTTTATTTTTATTTTTAGCCATTATTAGAAAGACGCTGTTGCCTGTCCCTAATTTATTTCCTTCTGTTGCCTCTTACGACGCCCACGGGATGATATGGGGTATTGGAATTTCTTACACTGCTAAACAACTAAACTAAACATTTTGTATATTTAAGGCAAATTCGAGTTAGTTTAGGTCAAACCTATTGGGTGAATTCTCATACATTTGAGAGGTTGCACCAAAATTACTTGAATTTACTTCAGAGCAGCATGTGGTATAAAATAAAACTATAAATATGTAGGTATAGTTATGTAACTTTATTTCCTAAAAGTACAGACTATTTTATAAACTGTAAATATCATTGATGTTTTTTATTGATTTTGCACATGATATTTACACGCATGTTATTGATTTATATTTTATTGTCAGAGCATTATTCTTCACTGAACATTAACGTAAATTTAAATCAGCAAAACTCTAATGGTGTTACTTAACATATATACATATATAACAACTTAACTCAGCCCAAATACATGATCTGAAACAGATAAAATTCGAGTCAGTATAGTAATTATCCGGTAAGATGGTTAACAAATTCGAAATGTTTATAAACTTACCACAATATTTTCATAAGTTTTTCCTTTCCTGTTTATTAATATTTATTAATTCCCTGCGGAAAGTGATAAGATGATTTTATGCTTTTTGTTTGCACAACACTTATCACACTTTCGATTCTCATCACACAACGTGCATAAAATTTTATAATACCTGTAGCGAAAAAATGACTACAAACAAAAATGAAGTATTCTGAACCAATAATACCAATAATACCTGATGGTATAGCAGCTATAATTCTAAAGGCCTGAGCACCCAAGTTGTCTTCTGTGTTGACACGCTTGTTCCGCCTCTCATTCAGGACTGGAATAGTGCCCAAATCTTGGAAGCTTGCTGACCCTGCCAACTATCGGCCAATTTCAATTACCTCCATACTCTGTAAGATTATGAAGCGTATACTGAACGCCCACCTCATAGCATATCTAGAGCAAAATGATCTCCTCAGTGATCGCCAGTACTGGTTTCGCCGAAATCGATCAATTTTTTAAATTTCTAGCGTATGCCATTCTCATATGGGGCGAAGCTCTTGAGAACAGTGGTGAAGCACTTGCTGTTTACCTCGATGTTTCGATGGCATTTGACAGGGTTTGGCACGCTAGTCTATTGGGCAAGCTTTCAGCGTACGGCTTATCCCCTGGCCTGATTGTCTGGGTGAAGGACTTTCTGAGTGAACGGTCTCTCCGGGTCGTCTTCGATACTGTGGCGACTAACGCTGGTGTTTCTCAGGGGTCCGTTCTCTCAACAACTCTCTTCCTGCTGTATATAAATGATCTACTCATACACGATATCTATGGGTATACAGACGACACCACAGTTGTGGAGAGATACCAACCAAGTACCCGGGCCAGTCGAAATCAAATCCAATCAGAAAGAGAGGCTATGGTTGAACATGTGAATCTCACACCACAGGCAGTCTTTGAATGGGGCGATGCCAATCTCGTGAGATTTAACGCCTTCAAAACACAAGCGTATTTTTTCACCGCTAAAAGGAGCCCGCTCACCTTGGCTCCTACTTTCCGGAATGTATCCTTAGCGTACACTGACCGCCTTCAGTTGTTAGGGGTTGAATTTTCTCCGAACCTCAACTATGGGCAGTTCATCGACTCCAGAGACAAAGCAGCCGCAAGGAAACTTAGTGTCCTTGCAAGGGTGCGGCGGTATTTAACGCCGGGGTAGCTTCTTACCTTATATAAAGCGCAAGTCCGGTCGTGCATGGAGTACTGCTGTCACATATGGGCTGGTGCTGCAAAATGCCACCTGGCAACGTAGGACTCAGTGGAGAAACATGCTAAAAGGCTCATTGGTGACCTTGGTTTGGTTGAAACCAATCTTGTCAGTCTCAAGCACAGGCGCAGAGTATCCAGTCTCTCGGTATACTATAGGCTGCATTTCGGTGAGTGCGCGCAGAAATTACACGCTTTAATTCCTCCCTCTCCTTTCCACCATCGGACAACCAGGCGGTCGGCGGGTCTTCACCCCTTTGTTGTCGATATTACACGCATCAGAACCAAAATGATGCTTCGTCTTTTGTAATGCGTACAGCAAATGAGTGGAATAATTTATCGTCTAAATAAAAAAATATATAAATATTTCCGTCCGAATACAATCTGGACATTTTCAAGGCATGAGTGAATAGGCATTTGTTACGCTAAGACAGTGCAATTTACCATCTAGGGCTGCATCACCACTTACCACCAGTTGAGATTGTGGTCAAGCACTGGCTTATAATAAGTAAAAAAAATAATAACTACATGCAATAATAAAATGAATTTTAAACCTAGGAGAAAATATTTTCAACATGAAAGAAGCTTACAATCACATGCTTTTTTTTCTTCTTTTAATTCATATTCATATTTTCGCTTCTTTGATTGAATTCTGCTGATATTATATAATTAATTTTTAATAAATTAATAGGTCAATTAATTGTGAAAACCTCTGAGTAATATGTATGTAATTACTAATTACTCTCAAGTGCAAACCAAAAAAAGTGTAACACAGAATTAACACTTTCAATTTTCTCTTTATACATATTTTAAGTTTGACCATTATTTGTAGGGATTATTACTTAAGTATATTGACACGAAATTTATTTGTTTCATATCATGTACTTTTATAGAGTTTTCACGGTGAGAATTTTCCTGTTGTACATTTACGTTACTGCTGTGTGAAGCATAACTCGCTAACAATAACGTATATGTACGTATATAGTTATTTTGCAATATACGGTCAAATTTGCAGAGAAGGTTCAAAATAAATAATGTAGGCGAATGGTGAAGAAAAGTTTATAAAAAAATCTCAAATAATCCTTTTTATCCTTTAAATTCAGAATGTGTGGCAATTGGTGAATTATTTTAATTTATTGTCCTTCATAAATCTAACACCTACTATTTTACTACGCATGCACACATTTGTAAGGGTCGCTCGGTCGGTAAAAACGTTGTAAATTGAGTCGCATACAAAGGAGCGTGTGTACACGTAATAGTTGCCCATAAATCACATTCAATTTGGGATGATTTCAAATAAAAGTAGACGGCTAATTTACTCATATTTTCAAAAACTGCAATATCGATATATCGTTATTTATATATTTGAAATGTAATTAAAAAATTTAGCTACTCTTTGAAAAATAACCCTGTATACCAAACGAAGGAAAACTCAAACAACATGCGTGGAAATATTATGTACAAAAACAATAAAAACATCAATCGTACTGTTACAGTTCTTAAAACACAGTTTGTAAAACAACTGTGCCTATTTATAGTTTTATTTTACTCCATACTTGTCTAAAGTAAATTCGAGTAATTTTGGTGCAATCCTCTCAAATGGGTTTGTGAGGCTTGAGCCAAAATTATTCGAATTAGCTTTAAACGAAAAGTTTAAGTTATAAAAATAAAGGTTTAAAATTCCTGCGATAAAAGTTTCATACGGGCGCCCACTGCGGCGCTAGTAGTACACACTCATAGACACGTATTTTATATTTTGTTTTGAGATACCATTCTTCTCTTGGTGGGGGTATAATTGTGTTCTGTGAACCCAACACTAATTATAAACTGAAAAATTGAACTGTTTTATTTATACAACTGTAATTTTTAATTAATTTATTGTGTATTATATTCTATGAATAAATTTTAAGGGCCGACTGAAAAATGGACTTTTAATACAATATATACCTGCAAGGCAAATGCAATATCAGCCGATCTATAAAAACATATTTTCATTAGTTATTAATCGTTATTAGAAAGACGCTGCTGCCCAGATCCTAATTTGTTTCCCTACTATTTACTTACTTCCTTGCTAGTAATTAATATAAATGTTTAGAAACGATAAAATCAAAAGCAAGTTAATCGCGTATTGGCTATGTATGAATATCCAATAACCCCGCGGGTGTCATAAGAAGCGACAAAGAGAAACTGAAACAGGAGATTGGCAGCAGCATCTTCCTGATAAAATTTAAAATTAGAACCAACTGCGGTCGCCAACCCGCCTAGCAAATGTGGCAACTATCGTAAAATCTCTCCTATGAGTCAATATATGGGTTCAGCCATTGCAGCAAGCACATGTGCCTATATGTACTTGCTACAATAGCTAGATGGATGGAACAAGAAGAGACTACTAAAATAAAAGCAGCTCGCACTGGCAATGCTGTTCCCTATCACCAAACTCTGGAATTTGGATTCAGTGTTTTTATATAGTTTTCCACGATTAGTCGTTCGCCAAGGTCGCCTCCGTCAGCAGGGTATAGCACGTCAAGGCAAGATAAGTAAAGTGCAGGGCATGTAGACATTTTGTGTGAAAAAGTGGAAGTGCTAGAAGTTGTAATGCAAAAAAATATATTATGATTGGTTCTGGTCTAATTGTGTTGGCTAAGACATATTCAAAATTATTTTATTAAGTTTAGTACTATAAAATCTTTTTTTTATTCACCTTATGAATATCGATTAATATGAAATGATTGATTACCTGCGCAGTTAACCATTGTTGTCCATTATCAGAAGAAGGTGGTTCGGCAAGTGTTAACATTCTACAACAAAATTAACATACATGATGTTTATTTTAATGCTCAAAGCATTACTGAAGGTTCAAAAGCTCTAAAATTTTCGTACATAATTATTAATTTAAAGAAACGAAGGAAAACAAACATAAAGAAACGATACACAAACATTCACATACACACAGACACACAAACACGCGTGCGCGCACTCGCTCACGCAACCGCACACGCGCACACTCTCGCACACCCGCACGCAATCACACACGCGCACGCAATCACACATGCGCACGCAATCGCACACACGCACGCATGCACGTACGAATGCTCGCACGCACGCATGCACGTATGATCGCCCGCACGCACTCACGCAAGCATGCACGCAAGCACACACACACGCACGCACGCAGGCACCGTCGCACGCACGCACGCACGCACTCTGGGATCTCCATGGTTCTTCCGTATAATGGGCGAAAGCAAATCGGCTCCTCAGATATTAATAATATAATAGATATGTTACCGGAAATGTATGTAATCCGTTATTGTATACAATTCCTAGGAAATGTATGTAATTCCTAAAATCGCACGGAAATGTGTAAAATAAATTATATTACACACATTTCCTAGGAAATCTATACATTGTCTAAATAACAGTCGGAAATGTAAATATTTGAGATATCAATGGGTATGCAGGGATAGCGGAGCGAGGGGAGGGTATTGTTTTGTCTGATCAGGCGCTCTCGCTAGTGCCGCGTTAACTGTCAGTGTGTACGCACGTTGCTGTTGTTCAAAATGGCTACTGAATCACGCATCGCGCTTATGAAAGAGCGATTTTATAGTATTTTAGCGTCATTAAGAACGTTAACAAACGCTAAGAACACTGCTTATATTGAAGATGAACGTTAAATAGAGTTTTGGAGAAGTTTCCACGGCAAAAATAATAGCTAGAAAGACTTCTCGTGATTATCGGTTATTGCGGCGATACGATGTGCTTACCATTGACCAGAAAAGTAAGCTTATTTTTCCTGTTAAAGACACTAAAAGCACTATTATTTACTACGCATGTGATAGCGAGTTATTCGACATATTACACGAGGCACATATTCAAATTGGTCACGGCGGAAGAGATCGTATGATGAAAGAGGTAGGGAGTCACTACATAAACATAACATGTAAGGATATAGAAACTTATCTTGAACTTTGTGAACCCTGTCAACAAAAGCAAAAAAACATCAAAAAAGGCATTGTTGTAAAGCCTATTATATCGTCAGAGTTTAACTCTAGATGCCAAGTGGATCTGATAGATTTTCAGCCCCAGCCCGACGGTGATAACAAATTTATAATGGTGTATCAAGATCATTTAACAAATTTTGTTGTTTTAAAACTACTCAAAACAAAACGAGCTGAGGAAGTGGCTCACACTTTATTGGACATATTTACTCTACTTGGTGCACCTGCAATACTTCATTCTTCAGTCTGATAACGGCAGAGAATTTTGCCAACCGAATTATTGAGAATTTAAAAACATATTGGCCTACTTTAAAAATTATTCATGGTAAACCCAGGCATTCGCAAAGTCAGGGGAGTGTGGAAAGAGCAAATCAGGATATTGAAAATGTGTTGACCACGTGGATGCAAGACAATAATAATTCACATTGGAGTGAGGGTTTGAGATTGTGCAACTCATGAAAAACAGAGCTTTTCACGCTGGTATTAAGCAATCTCCTTATGAGGCACTTTTTGGGTGTAAAGTAAAAGTTGGTTTACAGTTACCCAATGATTTCACGCAAAATGTAGAAACTGAAGAAGATTTGGAGAAAATTATACAGGACCTTACCAAAAAGGAAGAAGATCCCGAAGTCACTGCATGTGAATTCTCTAAGGTGAACACGGAGACAAGTCAAGTTTCTAACAACGATTAAGATCAACGCGAAACAAATATGCAACCTTCAGCTTGCACCCTCCAATGCAGCGTCTGTTCACAAGAAACTACAGAGGGTCATACATGTGAATATGGATGTGCAATCCAGGCTATTTGCGCTGTTGCTGAAGAATCATGTGATGAAGGATTTGGATCTAGTTTTCTGTCTATTATGTTCAAAAAAATATAAAGTACATGATAATCGTCAAAGTGCTAAGAAAAACTTACAACAACAGGCTGAAAAAATGATGAAATCGAGTGAAAAGAAGTTTGCTCCTGTACCTATTGGCACTTCTGTACGAATTGCAGTTCCAGAGGTTGACAGAGGACGTGGTGATGCCCGAAATATTATAGGTGTAGTTTTGGCTAAATCCGATGATGAGCTTTATCAAATTGGTACCAAGAACGGAATCTTAAAACAATCATATTCTCGATCTCAGATTAATGTGTGTCCAAGAGCTCTTCTTGATGCAGAGGATGTACCGAGTACGGAGATAGCACTACGGTCAGTTGCTAGCCTACAATCCTCTGGAACCGGCCAGGGATTTAAAAAGTGCCATTGCAAGAAAAACTGAACTAATTTTACGAAATTACTGTTACCTGAATGCTGTTGACTCAACGAGTGCTTTAATAAAAATTACGAGTATTATTCTCATTTTAATAACGTGTTTTATTACAGAAATCATTATTTTTATATATTTCCTAATACGATATTGGAATTATATATAATTTCTAGGAGTTGTGCACATTTCCTAGGACATTTATGTATTAAATAGTTTTTGAAACAATATTTTATACATTTCCTAAATAGCTTCGGAATTATATAAATTTCCTAGGATTTGTATACAATTCCTAGATTTCATACATTTCCGGTAACAGATACATTAATAAATCATCATATTATTATAATGATTTATTGTTATGAACCTGAATCAAATTATTACCTACTACACATTTAAATAAACTAATTTTGCGGATCTTATCGCGTATATTAACTTATTTTATATTCCCGACGTTTCGAGCACTTTACAGCACCCATGGACACGGGGGGACTGAGGTGTATTAGGTGTATGGGGATATAAAGTAAGTTAATATACGCGATAAAATCCGTAAAATTAGTTTTGTTTAAATATATCAATATTACCTGCTAAAGAACTAATTAATACATTCATCATTAGAATAAAAAAGAACCATGAGTACATACATAGAGCACACACGCGCGGATCGGAGCGGAGGTGGTCCGCTTGCTCTATGAGTACATAGTAAGAATTATTTTAAACTATTTAGAAACCCCTGAAACAATAATAACTAATGATCTTTAAACGGCTGAACAGATATTCTTGAAACAGCTAAAAATACTCTCGATTAAAATACCCTCAAACGAAAATACTTAATCAAAATCACTTCGTTCGTTTAGGAGCCATGATTCCACAAACAAACACACAGATACACACATTGAGTTATATGTACTACGTACTAGAGAAGCCATTCCGAACATTGACTATGTTCAACTGAACTGTAGTGCAATCCATACAAACTAAATATTGCGTAAATTGAAGATTTGTGAATTCCATAAAATAATTATTATTACATTTTATTTAGAAATATGTTTGTTTAGATTAAATTAAGATATTTTATATTGAATTCTTATATTTGTTTTATATTAAATCTTATTTTATATTAAATTAAAGTCGTCGCGCATGCGCGACTACTACTCCCGCGCATGCGCGAAGACATAGAGTAGGACACAATTTTTGTTTGGAATGGCTTCTCTAGTACGTAGTACATATAACTCAATGGATACACAATACAAACTTATAACATCCTACTGTTTTCGTCGGGACTTAAAAAATAATTAGTACATTTCATAGCTCAACCTCCGAATTACTTTAGGGTTTACCATGTAGAAAAAAATAGTACTCAATACTAAAAAGAAGAAGTAGCATTCTAAAGTTTGTAATGTTGGCGTGGAAAAATTGTCTAAGAGTAGAGCACTAGACTAAAACACGCTCTTGTATTATCGTCTACTAAATGACGTATACAATTGAATACATTCTCTTTGGACGACCACTTAAAATATATGCCGAACACCCTCCACATAGGATTTAGTCTTACTTACACGAAGCCGTTGAGGAAAATAATGAATACAGAAGACAGGATCATTATGACTTGACGGCAAGCAATGCGATTAATATATTTTCGTAAGATATAAAAATATCACTTCGCCACAGATTTCAGCTTGCGGCCTTTTTTCGCGAGAGAATGTTTAGTATAAAGGTTTAAAATCCAACATTTTTAAGACAACGTATGGTAAAGACAACACTGATGTATTTCCTACATAATTTGCGCTTATATACAGTAACACAAACGACGCACAAGGTTGAAAATGGCTGCTCAGGAAAAATTAAGTCGAATACAATTAAGATAAAGTATTATTACAATCCAGGGCTGTCAGTATTATTTGCTTTTATAATTACAAACGTCAGACAAAAAGTAAATCACAACATTGGAAGAGAACAAAGTATTGTATTTTATCCTGTACATTATATTCCACTTAGAAAAGGAGGTACAGATGTTGAATAAAACTATTTTTACTCATTCTATCGCCTTAAATTTTATTTTATTTTTAATTACCTATGGAAACTGAGGTGCTGGTACTGTCCCTGTTCCTACTGAGGATCTCCGGTCTATTAGAGCTAATATATTAGACACTTTGAATAATTCCTTCGCAAACTGCACACAGGGAGTATGTTCAAATCGTATCCGCATACATACATATGCAAATCATTAAAAATAATTGTCACATAAATATACAGTTTTGTACAAATTTACAATCTGGCAACCCTATTAAGAGCATCAGTATTAAAACTCATGTTAACATTTACACGTATATGAGTATAATGTATAAACAACTTACTCAAACATTACAAATCCTTAAGAACCTTGTGCACCAATTTCTTTATTTTGTGACAAGTGCATTTATAATCAATAAAATACATTCCAATAGGTATTTATGAGCGATAGACACAACAAAACGGACAATATCAACTTGTACCTATTAGCAACAAGTCGCTTATTCCAATGTGATACGCCCGCATGAGAGGTAGTATTCATGTGCTTAAACTTTGGCAAAAAGAAGTAATTTTCGAAGAAAACATGTCCAGCTACGCATTACTGTGATTCAAATCTCGTTTTCATATGGTAGAAAGGCTGGACTTGATTTTAATTTCATTTGTAAGTATTTTTTAAATTTGCCCGATATTTAGAATGAAATCAATATTTTTTTAGGTGATCCTAGATCATTTGCTAATATTGTAATCAATGCCATGGCAAGCAATATGGGCATGAAAATCAAATTCAATGAAGTCATTAAGTAGTAAGAAAGAAAAAAAAAACTGAAAATTAGTTGTTATTGAATAAAACGTGGTAGAGCCACGCTGCAGCTATATTAGTAGTATAGTTGTAGCACGAATGGGTCGGCTCGACCGGGGAAGCACCACGCTCTCACAGAATACCAGCGTCAAATAGCAGTTTAACACTGCTGTGTTTCGTATGGTGAGTGTAAAGAACCGGAGACCCTTTTTACTGGAAAAGAGGCATTCCATCTTAGTCCTCACGGGTGACAACGCATCTGCGTTTTGATTCACAAACGAAGATAAATGTAGTTGTTTATGGGCCACAGCAACCACTTACCATCAGGTGGACTGTGTGCTCGTTTATCACTCGATCCTATAATTAAAAAAAAATTTGATTAAAATATTACATAGTAAAGGCATTTTTGGCTGTAGCAGCAGTTTTTGGCAGCATCCCATGCTACGTCAGTAATTGTAATAAATGCCATCTGTAGTACAACAACTTTACCACTGTGTTGCCTCTGTGTAATTAGAAATATGATATTTTGTTCAAACCAAATAGTAGTTCTTACACTGTAGTGTTCCGGTCTGGTCCGGGTAAAGACAGCCAGTATAGTTATAGACTGTCAGGCATTCCAGCTTAATCCTCAGAGGTAACAAAGCATCTATAGCGTTCTTTATTTGAACTTGACTACAGGTTTCCATGGATTGCAGTAGCTACTCACCTCCAGGTAGTGGTAAGTTTGTTTGTCACTTAAGTTTAATAAAAAAAAATATTTGACGCGTATTAAGTTTATTTATTTATTTTATTTTATTGTATAGATTTATTATTTTATAGGGCAAAGGTACACACAGTCCACCTGATGGTAAGTGGATGCTATGGTCCACAGATATCTACATCTATCCTCGATTAAGAATTAAAATTCAGATACGTTATCACCCCTGAGGACTAAGTACGTTTCCAGTAAAAAGGATCTCCGAATCCCTACTCTTACTCTCACCACTTCTGTGAGAGCGTGGTCCTTCCCCAGTCGAGCCGAAGGTTCTAACACGTACCGCAGGTACAATAACTTTTTAATTATCTTATACTACATACAAATAAACAAGAGCAGCGCCGTGGCCAAATTCCTGGAAAACGCTCTCAGAAATAATAGGAGAGGACATATATACATAGGAAATAGGACATACATATAGACAGTATTATATATTCTGTAACTTTTTAACATACATATCGACGGTCCCTAGGTATAATCTCACTAGTAGCACTTGAGTAATTTGCGTTCTTATATAACATTCCTGATGCGATACTCTATCGACCGGTAATTTTTTTTCATATCTGTAATTAACATAGTTGTTTACCTCGACAAATTACTTCAACTATGCAAATAAAATTCATTTAATTATTCGGCGTACAATAACGTTTATGGCCAAATTCACTGATACGTCGGTATATCATAATTCAGACATTAAAAAAGTAAAAACATTTTGGTAAGTAAAATTTCAAAAATGGCCTGAAATAATTAATAACTGTTATATATATATATATATATATATATATATATATATATATATATATATATATATTGAATGAAAATTTTTATCTAAATTTTATCCCAAAGAAGTGATAAGATTAAAATATATTCTTATATCAATGTATTTTTTGTGAAAAAACATGTTTTCTGCGTAATTGGTCACATATATCAGATACGTGATTTTGCGTCGGAAAGTTTGTGTTCCAAACATTAACAGGTAGTTGCTTAATTTTACGTAGACAATTTGGCGATACTTAATCTTTATATATAAAAATTACTTGTCACATTGTTTGTCCGCGATGAACTCCTAAACTATTGAACTGATTTCAATGAAATTTTGTACACTGTGTGCAGTTTGGTCCAACTTGAGAGATAGGACAGTTTTTATCCTGATAAGTAACACTCAATTTTTTTTATTACGAATTTAAGGATTTTTTAGATGAAGGGTCGTCGAAAAGGGCAGAACAACGTCTGCCTGGCCAGCTAGTACACATATAGTAAGTCTTTTTGTACTATTATCTATTCTGTGGACTTAGTATCTTAATTTTACACGGGAAATGTTTGTGCACCGAGATGAAGCTACGTAATTTTCCATCGGAAATAAGAGCTATTCTCAGTAGTCTTAGAAGAAAATTTTAACTTTTTAGTTAATTCCTAATACCTTAATAATATTAAAATAAGTCCGCCCTTTAAAGCCCTTATTATAAAATGTGTAAAATAATTAGGGGTTTTCTTACCAAGTAGGCCTCACTAGTAAGACCACCGTGGAAAGAAATTCTGAGAAGTCCTACTTTATAAAGTACATGGAAGTTGTCATCAGTACCTACCTAATTTAGTTTATTTTTGTCAAAACTATCTATTTCATGTAAACGTTTTTGGTCTAATTTGACTGGTTTGCTTTTTTATGATTAGTAGAAATAGTTCTAGGCAAGAATAAACGTGAAAGAAGCAATGGGATAATTCTTCAGACCAAATTTTGGTCACGGCGGCCAGTCTCAGCGGCGACTAGCCATTTGCGCAGACAGAATTATAGTGCCCAATTGTATGCACAAGCACAAATGAACTCTCTATTTAGGTATATATTTTTGTCTCAGATGTATCAGGCGAACAGAAGTCGATCTAAATAATATAAATGTACAAAATATACAAACTAGAACTGGAACTATCCCACTGCTTCATGCAAGTTCATGCTTGCCTAGTACTTTTCCTAAAATAAACTGCTAAAGTACAACTACTAAGTACTGATGACAACTCCATGTACTTTATAGAGCTGAAAATTTTCTTCCCAAGTGGTGTTACCAGTAAGGCCAACTAGTTAAGAAAATTCCCCATTGATCTTATTCATAAGACTATTAAGCAAGAGTACTTGGAATACACCACGATAAGAAATTTTCTGGTTTATATCCAAATAGTCACACTAAGACTACCGAGAAGAAAATTGCTTAGTAATCTCACTGTAAGACTACTGGGAATACCCTCTTTTTTAGGGAATCGGGTGCACGAAAGCAGTCTTCCATGGATTCGAGACTCCGGCTAGGGAGTAAGAGTACTGGAAAACTGGTACCAACTCTGGAACACGCGTCTTCAGCTCAATTGAAGTAATTCCTTCAGGCCCACTAGAATTGTGGATGTATAGGGAGAGGAGTGCTTTGCGTACTGAGCACTGCACTGTGTGAATCGCAGATCACTCACATCGCGGGATGTTCGACGGTGTGATCGAAAATCGAGTTGAACGCAAAAAAAAATGGTGGTCGTTAAAATTGCCAAGGATCACGATCTCCGCGGATGGAATCTGTTGTAGCAAGGAATCTGCAGCCATTTGGACGTGGTCGATGAGTTGTTCTGTGACGGCATTAGCGCTATGGAAGCTATAAAGGCATCCGTCGTCGCTGTCTACACACCACTAAATGATGGACAGGTTCGTAACTTTAAAACTGCCATGGTAGTCTTGAAGGTACGGCCCGAGAAACGAGAATAGATGTCCTCTCTGACGTATACGCAAACTCCAGCCCGGGCACAGAGAAGCATGGCAGGGGTCGCTAGGGTTTTATCGGTCTGTTAGCCCCATGCAGTATTAGTAATCAGCGGGATTTACATATTTTATATTTTCGCAGTTACTAAAATAAAATAAATAATTTTCTTAGATGACTCTAAAATGTTTGCTAATATTATAATAAACGCCCTCTGTTTTTGCTTCACCGAAGTATTAATATAAATAGTCACTGATGTGAGTGTGACCACGCTCATTAATGTTGATAATTCAAAAAGATCTTTCTAACGGTTTTTAGGCCATTTGTTATAGTTATTTTACGTGTGTAATTATAACTTGTAAAAAAACAATTTCTCGCAACTCAGTTCTTCTACCCTAAAAAGTTGTGATTGAATATTAAAAATCTTATGTTTTAAATAAATAGATTGACTTGGCAATCGCACTAAACA